GATCAAGGGCATAGGCCCAATGCGGGCCTGCAGCACGCGCCTTGGAGAAGCAGGTCCCGGTGCACGCCTCAGCGGTAGTTGCAGATATTCAAATGGGAACCTTGAAGCCCGAAATGGAAGGGGGGGGCGCTCCACGTGCACAGTTGTGCACCCGGTACCGCTGTAGACTTCTCCATAGTGCCCCGGGCCGCCTTTGCCCAGGCACAGGTCCCCTTTCTCGCACCGCGGCGGCATGCTTGCACTCAAACCTCTCACAGCAGATCGTGGTCATCGAACGGCGCGCCCGCGGTGGGCCCCCGCCACTCAGGTTTCTTCCGCCTCGAGGGCTAATCACCCACCGGCTCGCATGCACGTTGAACTCCTCGGACCGCGTTTCGAGACGGACAAGGTCGGGGGACTTCGTCGGCATCTCAAGCACGCCTGAACCCACAAGTCAACCAAAAGAGGCGTGCGCTCAAAACCCTCAACTACTGTGGCGGCCACCCGCGGCCGGTGTCATGCCCTACTTACGAAAAGTCAAAGTATAAAGTTAATAAATGACGACAACAAATAATAATTAGAAAACTCTCAGAAAAGTAACCGTCGGCTCCGTCCCGACGCCGCCGATGGCAAGACCAGGGGGGGCCGGCCCCACCGATCCTTCAATGTCGCGCACCTTGTTCGTCATGCAGGGTTCTCACCGTTGTCGAGGCCGTCCTCCGTACGTATGCACAGGTCACAGGCAAGCACATCAGTCAACGAGACATACTCTCTCTAATCCCTGTATAATCAGAAGAAAATAAAATCTGGTCGGCAATCACGCCGACTCTTCAGTCATCAACAAATAAAAGAATCACGCGCGCCTCAAAAACATCCGTTCTCACACACACTCTCTACCCTAGTCAACCACCAACCGCATAGACAACGGACACTCCCTCGACTCGCACGGTATGCTTAACTTTCAACCTTATTTTCTGTCGCTTGCAAAACCCAGGGCTGATACCCTTATAAGGGTATTCGCACCGACGGCGCTTTTGGAGGTGCAAAATATAATGAGGTTTCCGGTAAGCGATAGTCAGTTGAGGGCGACGGTTGTTACTCTCGGACAATTGTACAAGGAGGCACGAGAAGAGTTGATGTACGCTGTGTTTAAGGATAGTTTCTCAGATCAATGTGGTGATGGACTGACGAATGGCATGATGGCAAGTTATAAGGAACAGTTGTATAGCCTCATAATTTTATTAGCAAATATCATTGGTGCTCATTCGTCGGTGCGGGTTATGAAGAAGATCGGTCATGTAAAAAAGGAATTGAATGCTCTCGCGAGCATAAATAAAAAGCATGAGACCAGATTGCATGAGGTGGTGCTTGCATTGGTTGAAGCTCTGAGGCGTCGATGTCCAAAGTGTGGCCGCCTAAGCYATTTAACAAAGGGGGACTATAGAAAGATAAATGATTTGACGGTTGTTACACCTACGTGTGACAACACGACAAACCTTTATCCCCATGGAGATGTTGTTGTTGATGAGGACGAGAAGTTCACAATGGAAGAAAGAAGAAGGCAGCTTCGTGGGCAGGACGGTGTAGATGAATAGTGTGGTTTTTCTTTATGGTCGCATATGCATTGGCTGGTGTTCGAATGAGAACAATAGGAGAGGGAGGAGCTAGAGTGGGAGGGAGAGCGGGGATGTGGGGTGAGATGACGAGCAGGAATGCGTGCCTTCACATTTGTCAATTTCATTGATGATGATGACACTTGAATGGGTTTATAATAAGATGCTTAAATTCTTTATTTTTTGACACTTTATTTGAGGTTTTTTTTTTTTTTTTTTTTTTTTTTCTCTCTCTCTCTCTCTCTTTCTCTCTCTCTCTCTCTCTGTCTCTTCTATTTGTTTCGGCATTCCCTCTTTGACAACTATTATTTGCATTTGCATGAAAATATTGTTGAAGTATAAAAATAAAGGTTGCTTTAGTTATTTATTGATATGTTATCTCATGTTCTATGTGTTCATTGTTATGAAAATTATGTTATTTTTTAGAGACTGACATTTTTTTTAATTTTTTTTCTCAATATTGTTTTATTCTCTGTGTTCACTCTTATATTGTTATACTTATTCATGAAAAAACAACCAGGTGAGTATCCTTTAAAGTATGGACATGTGATAATATTAAAGAGCGGTTAAAATCAATAAGAAGATTGAAAGAAAAAAAATATAGGGAGAAAAGTTGTAAAGTTGATGAATAATTAGGACAAAAAAATCTCAATCATAAAAGAGAACGAAATAATACGTTTGAGTCCTCTCCCTGCAGACGATCTCGAAGGAAAGCAAACGATGCTTAAGAATAAACGAGGTACGTGTGAGTGTGCTACGTGGGACGATGAAAATACTAAAGCGCTTATGTGAAGAAAATTAAGTTTTATTGGGAGGGTTGGGTCACACTACGTATTTCTAATGAATATTGGAGAAGGAAACGATCCAATAGGAAGGAATAAAGTTGACAATAAACGTAACGTTTTTCCCAAGGCTCCTTTGCTATCCTGAATGACCTCCTTTCACCTAACCCCGTTCCAAAAAGTCCTGTTCTCTACCCCCTTTGCTCCTATCTCATCAAAGTCGCCCAAGCAAAAGAGGAGAAGAAAGGTAATGCCATAAACGGTTTGCCCAACCTCGATCGCTAGGAATGACTCTTCTTGAAACCAGGACCTTCGAGGCTGACAGGGGAGAGGTGCGGCATGCCGCATAGACCCATTTATGGGGGTGGTGCAATGCTGTTGCGATGGAGCCAACGCCTACTTCTGAGATTTGGGCCTCGTGCTTATGTGAGGAGAATAGGTACTACAGACTACTTCCAAGCGATCGGAGCTCGGAAAGGTCGGCGAAGACATTTTACCTTCGTCAAATCTTTTGTGGACAGATGACTGACTTAGGATACCTAAGCCTGGTCGAAAGTAGGAGCCGCCTCGATTAAGGTGGATTGGATCCAAAAGAAGTTTTGATCCCAGTGACAAATTTATCCGAACAGGAAAGTGAGTCCTACCAGAGAATGACAAAGGGAAAACGTGGACAGACGAGGTACGTATGACTCTATCGCATGGGGCCCTGAAAAGACTGAGGGGCGTATAGGATCGCAAATTGAACATAATAATCGAACGAGGCATAGAAACAAAATAAGAGTCGTCTTAATTAACCTCAATAGGAGTCCAAAGAGGTTCCGGTCTCAATTAAACGTTTGCACAAACATCAAAGTGGACCTATGCATCTATATTTACACGAACAAAGAAATTCCGATATGAATTATTAACATTGATTAAGCTCGATAGCGTGCTAAAAAACAAAAACAAACAAACTGGCTCCTTATTTTCTTTGCTCTTTTGTGCTTCACATTTCGGCTGTGTTGCACTGCGTTTTCTTTGTTTTTCCTGTATTTTTTTCTTTTCTACTTGACATTATATTACTCTTCTTCATATAATTACATTTATATATGAATGTTTTGAGGTGTTTTTTTTTCGTTGCGGTTGTCTACATGCATCTTATTTCTCTTGTCCGTCGTGACGTGCCCATGTACAAATATGTACGTACGTGCCCATTAATATGGCAGAGGACCAAGATCCACGTGACGGTTCAACCAAAAGTAATCTATCCAATATTCTAACCTTCTCTTCACCTGTGGATAAGTCCTTACATGTTCCGTGGAAGTGTCGCAAACGCCATCGGCCTTTTGAAAGGATTGTTAATGATCCTTTGGTGTCCTCGCCGTTAATATCAGAAAGTACTCGGTGTCCTGCCATTGTTCCAGGTCAAATCGGTTTGTCTTCGTTCGAGGACCCTTCTTCCTCATCCAACCATGGATTGGGACTGCGTATAGGTTCGGATGTTACTCCCGGTCGCTCTACGACTGAGACAACAATGCCATCACAACACGAACACCGCAAACGCGGATGACCACCTTCCTGAAGTCGTCAAACCCGAAGGTGTTTACTAGAGGCGGTAGGKGTTGTAGGKGAGCCGACTGCTCGGAGGAGAGATAAACAATAGGTGATAAGTCAAGATTATGGTCGTGATTGTTCTACTGAGGAACAATGTAGTGATAAGTCTCTATCTTTTCAACAATCGATTCCATCGATGAATGATTTCACAAGCCCTTTGTTTTTCAAAAGAACGAGTCAAGGAAATATTAATGTTGGTACGGATCACATTAGTTGTCTGAGAAATCTCTCTATGACCTTGCAAAGTGAACGTTCGCTTGAAATTTGTACGGATGTTGCAATAAATGTAGATTCCATTTCGATTGTAGAAAGATCCGTTTTACTCGATAATTTTTTCTCGCACTCGGCACATGTGCACAATTGTTCATCGTCGACATTGACTGCCGATGTCCAACAAAGATTTGTGGAGAGTAACGTTTGTCCTCCCTTGATGGATGTTCATGCAAATGCATGTTCTGCTGCCACGACCTCACCAAATTCACCGAACACGTTGATTAGAAAGTCTGTTCAATTTCATAATCGGCGGAGAAGATTATTATTATGGAAACCGATTCATTCAAGGCGTAACAGACGGTACCGTATGTTGTTGATTCGACGACTGCGTGCCAATAAAGTTGTGCGTCGTTTGGAACTTTGATCGTTGTCGTCGATGCCTCACCGTATGTCATCGGGTGATGCAAGTGCAACAGATGTTGAAAGTATTGTAGATGTTGGTGAAGGAACGGAATAAGTCGATAGACTGAATGTGAATGAATCATGTTCTACGTCGCGTATAATTTCAAAACAATGGAAAAGTCAGGGAAGATGACCAAACTTTCATGTTAAAAGTATGCGTGCATTAAGAGCTGCACTTAAGAATCATAGGAGGAAAGAAGATGTGCGTGCTCATAAAAATTTTGTACGGGGTGTGAGACAAATTTTGTTTGTTGTCAATATCCTTCAAAAGATTTGAGCAAGTGTCTCTGTGCAATCGAGGAGTACATCTTCTCCTGCGAGACAATCGCGGAGTCAATCTTCTCGGGCGAGGCACTCGTAGAGTTTGTCATCGGGAGCGAGACAACCACAAAATCCATCCGTGAGAAATCGAAATTCAATGAACAACCACGAAGACAGTGAGCCAAATAGTCGTGAGGAAGAAATGAATGATTCTCATGATGTTCAGGCTCCTGATCTTAATGTACTCCCATCGGCACCCGTGACAACAACGTATGAGGCGGTTGAGAACACTGTGGCGATTCTTGGGAATGCTACCATTGTTGAACTGTTCGGCATTGGTGGTCGAGATCCGTGTAAGCATTGTGGTGCTAAATTGTGGCATCATGAAAGAAAATGGACAAAGATGTGTTGTCGAAAAGGTACAAAGCGTTGTCCTCTATGGGAATGACCCTGCGAAGGCTCCCCGGAGTAAGAGATTCGTTCACTTTGGACGTCTCAAAGTTTCGATGGTCGATTCCTTCGAAACAATGCGAGGATAATTAATAATAGTTTATCCCTCGCACCCTCGCGGTTGAAGCAACCGAGCAATGGTCTTCGAGGATTCCAGGGTCAACTTAGGGCTCAAGGTCGAATCTTTCATTGTGTCGGTGCATTGGCTGTGGGGAAAGGGGAACGTTATCAATTTGCGCAACTATACTTCCACGATCCTCAACGTTTGGACGATGCGATTGATCAAAGGGTAGATTTCCTTAACTTACCTGCACATACACCCGATGCCGAACTTGATCGAGCGAAACGCATATTGAGAAGGTTTCACGAATTGCTACAACGATGTAACAATTACGTGAAGGACTTTATGACGGTTGCTGACCTTCCGCCGGAAGCGTTGAACGGGAGGAAGTTGATCATAAATCTGGATGTCATGCCTGATGGGGAACATGCAAGGCGTTATAACCATCCTATGGGTTTACATGAGGTGTGTGTTCTGATGGCCGATGAACTCCTTCCTCGTGAGCTCGAGATTCGTTTGCGTGCTCCTCTTTCGGGTGAGCGGCGGACAGTTGTGGTTCCGGATGGTCTCGAGCGCACGACTACTTAAGGTTTGTTTTACTTTTTCTGAAGGGAATTGATAGTTGGTCTGTCCGACGTGCCCCGGAAGTTGGAATGCCGTCAGGACTTAGTGTCAAGGAGTACTATGCATTTCACCTTCACGAGCGCGATGGTGAAAGGCCTTGTCTCCTTTATGCAGCACGTCTCTTCCACGAGTTTTGTTGTATGACATACGCTAAAGTTGAATCCCTCCGCTTAAAATGGGTGAGATTCACCAGAAAAAATTGCGCTCGGAGTATTATCAGGATTTAAGAGACGTCGTGCAACAAAATCAACGTGGTGAGGGTGTTGGGACAAAAGTGGTTTTACCGTCAACGTTCACTGGGGGCCCCCGATATATGAATGAAAGATATCACGACAGCATGGCAATTGTGAGGCGATTCAGAAAACTGGATCTTTTCATCACTATGACGTGCAACACTAACTGGTCGGAGATCAAACAAGCCCTGTTGCCAGGTCAATGTCCTAACAACAGGCCGAATCTTCTGGCGTGAGTGCTCAAAGGTTATCTTGCAAAGTTGATTGATGAGATAAAGAACAAACGGATCTTTGGTAGGGTAAGTGGAATGTTGTATGTGCTGGCTGTGTATCTTTTTAACGGAGAACAGGGGACTTAAACTCCAGTTGAATCCCGTTAAATTCAAAAAAATCCCGTTGAATTCGCGTTAAACGTAAAAATGGGTCGCTCCCGCGCTTTTCGGAAAAACAGAATTGATGCGCGGGGTCCGGAACACGTGGCCCTACGCAAAAATAAATAAATAAATAAATAAATAAAAAATAAAAAACCCAACCCCTGAAGCATCTCCCATCCGCCCCTACATCCACCAACGCCCAACGCCCTAGTTATATGTGTGTAGTGTGTTGTGTGTGCGCGTATGTGTGTATGTGTGTGCCTGCGTGTGAGAGTGTGTCTGTGCATGAATATGAATGTATCTGCGTGTGTTTGTGTATGTGTGTGTTTGTAAGTGTGTGTGTGTGTGTGTGTGCATGATTGTTGGCGTGAGTGTCAGCGAGCTACAGCGCAACTCGACTATGGCTGCCTGCTCCTTCCTGCTCGCCCGTGAGCACGTGAGTGCCAGCGAGCTACAGTGCGGCAGCACTTACGCAGCATGCAGCCCGCACCCGAATGCCCAATGTGGAGGCAGACCCTTTGCTATATCGAAGTGGCCTGCCTGTGTTCAGTCCCAGGAAGCTTCCAGTAGGGCCGGATAGCCTGAGGCCCGGCACGAACGAGAACAGGCCTTGGGCCTGAGGTGGGTGCATGCCCCCAACTGCCTTTGGCCTGTGTTTGGCCCAGTACCCGTATCCAGCCCAGGGCCTGCTTTCCATACATTCACATAGGCRGCCCAGGGCCTGGGTTTCCTCAACCAACTGACGCCAGACTCATGCAACCTGCTACAGGCCCAATTTTGTGTGTGTGTGTGTCTCTTTTTTTCTTTTTTTTTATTTGCTTTTTATGATTTTGATTTTTTTTAAAATACACGAAGTTCTAAAAAAATAAAATAAAAAATAAATTGTTGTACATCTTTGAAAGATCTACAACCCTATATTTTTT